TTTGATAGACTGTGGCCAATTTTTATAAATACATGTGTACTCTATGGAGTGAAGGGTTCTACATATATCCTTAGTTTGAGCTTCATAATTTTCTATAGAACCATTCTAGTTTTTTGCCTGCTTTATTTAATAGTTATTGAGAGCTTTAAAAATCTCCTAAATCATGGACTTATCATTTTCTCCTGGAAATCTGTCAATTTGTACTTTATTTGAAGGCCACCTCATTAAGTGAAAATGAGATCAAAATTATTACATCTTACCAATAAAATACCTATTTTTCCCCATATTACGCAGTGACCCTCTTTATCTCTAACAATAATTTTTTTTTCATTAAAGTCTAGTGTGTCTGATTATTTTTAAAGTTNGTGCTAAAATTACTATGATTATAGATTTGGCCATTTCTCATAGTTCTGTCAATTTGTTTTATACTTTTCTGATTATGTTAATAAGATGCAAAATTTAAAATGTCATATCTTTAAAATGAACTGAACTTTTATCATTATGAAGTGACCCTTTTTCTAGTTCTTTTTGTGTTAAAGTCTATTTTACATAACAATAATACACCAGTTTTCTAAACAGCTGGATTTTTAAAAAGCTGGTATGATATATTTATGTTTTAACTAGAGTAGTAAATTTATATTTAATATGAATGTTGATATATTTGTGTTCAAATCTATAATCTTATATTGTGCTATTTCCCCACCTGTCCTGGGTTCTTTTTATCTCCATTCTTATGTCTTTTTGAATTGTTTTTAAATCATTCCATTGCCCCCCTTGACTATTACAGAATACACTGTTTCTATTCTTTAGTAACAACCTTTAAAAAGTGATATCCAGGGTTCACAAAGTTAAACAAAACTTAACCCCTCTGTACTAATTCCATTACCCTTTTAATTTAATGTTCTTGTTTTCACATATTTAATCCTACCCTTTTTTCAGCACCTCCCCACTACCAACATTGTTATTAGTCTTTTACGTTTGTTTAGAGTTGCCCATATATTTACCACTTTCTTTATTCTTCTTGCTGTACATCTCACTCTTCCCATTTGGCATTACTTCCCTTCCAAGAACATCCTTGAGAATTTCCTTTAGTGAAAAACTATCTTGGTTTTTCTCTTGTTACCTTCATTTCACCCTCACTCTTGATTTTCTCCTTTGGTTGCTGTGTCACTACACTGTTTATATGTGGGTTTGTTTGTTTGTTTTTTCTTTTGAGGGATGGGTGTCTCATTCCTTCTGTAAAATACTCAGTCATTATCTCATCATATACTGACTCTGTCCATAATCTTTCTCCTCTCCTACAACCCCAATTAGACATACTTCTCAGGCTAGCATCCCTGATTCTTTTTTTTTTTTTTTTTAAGATTTTTTTTTATTGGGGAATTGGGGGGATGGGAACAGTGCTGGGAGATTGGGGAAGGGGAACAGACAAGTTGCTGTCGTTTTGTTCTTCAGTCTAGTTGNGAAAGCCCACCAAATAAGACTCCAGGTTTGGAATTTCACATCTGGAGGCTGTAAAGAGGGAGAAGAGTGTCACCAGGCTCAACCCTTGCCCCAGAAAGGGGGCCCTTTGTCTGGCAACAAACTCCAAACCCAGAGAATGAACTGTCCCTTTTCACAGCCCATGGACCAAAGTCCAAAGGGTCAAAGGCAGCCTGGTCCACACTTTCCTGGCTGATAGCCCAAGTTAGGCTCGACTTCAGTGAGGAACTCCAAGATGTTTATTTGGATTCACTCAACTTTTATCAACAAATTTTGATGCTATTATCACATTCCTAGTCCCTTGAACTACAGAGTGAGAAGTAGAGCCTAGCCCCCTACGGATCAGCAATGGAATTAGTGAACAGAATACGAGTGTAAGAAGGGTGGCTAAAGGAAAGTGGAAAGAGGGAGAAGGGAGAGGAGGAGAGGTGAATGCCCCTCCTCAGCATAACCCCCGCAAAATCTTTAGACTTTGTGATAGGCCGGGTCCAGGCTTGTCAGTGGCTTAGAAATTGAGATTCCTCTTCCAGTAGGAGAAAGAAAGGGAAATAGAGTGGGAATTTCTAAACAATCATGAAATCTAAATTTTGACCTTAGGGTATTAAAAGAAGGAACTGAGAAGAGAAATTGTTTTAAATGTCTCAGCATTATTTTCTAAGAAAAATCACTGTCATCAAAGAACAAACACGCTTTCACTGTGCCTTTCTAATAAAACCCTGCAAGCAGAGGGTTTAATGCACTGCTGACAAACACTTCACAGCATGTGTTTTCCCCAGTGGTAACTCCACAAACGTAGCTGTGATCCTTACTGCTCCCTGACTATCACCCTGGGTATGTAGGACCAAGTCAAGCTCTTCATTAGGTTGGAATCTCATGGAGCCTTCTACCTGGACAAGTGGATTCTGACCTCTCTGACCATGGGTTCTGAGAGCATGCTCCACAGCCAGGGTGCCCTCATATATGACAGTCAAGAGAGCCTGTCCCAAATTAGTCCTTCCAGAAACACACTCACAAGCTAGACACACCCACAGGCTACGTGTTGAAAATGAAACTGTCCTGCTAGCCCTGGAGGGATCCAGGGGGCAGGAGGGCAGGGACAACAAGCTTTGGAACATTCTATGGTCAACCTCCATTTCTTGGTGGGTATCCACCAACTGAAACTCCAGGTCCTCACAAGGACCTCTCAGGACTTCACCAATATGGACACGTTCAGCTACCAAAACTACATTACAGTCACTATATTCAGTCTATTCAGATTCCTCTGAACAAAATTCCTCTGAAACACTCCCTTTCTCCAGAGGCAGTGCAACATCAGGGGCCTGGGTCACCCTGGCCGAGACTCCATAAGCCCCAAGTAGCTTCCCAACTTGAGGGTTGGTCTCCCATGGAGCTGCAGGGTCACCAGGCTCCTACAAAGCGGGCTCTGTCCCTGCCAAGCACCGTGAGGCCTGTGCAGCCTTGTGGTTTAAGCAGAAGAACCAAGGTTGAAAAATTAGCCTTGAATTTTACTCAAGTTAGGCAAACATGGGATACAAAAGACATTCTCTGTTGGGAGCACAGAATCAAGAAAAGCTAGCTTGGGAGAATATTTTCCTCTGCAGCACACACAAGTGTATGTTTGATACCAGCACAACTGTGTATTCCCAACTTATGCAGAAAGGGTTGCTTTAAAAGGAAATTACATCCCCACTACTAATTCCTGGGTTAGAATCTCTTTAAAAGAAATCTTTCACAGAAAAATAAAAAGCCCTAGTCTTGAGGAGTAATACACTGAAACATTTAAGGCTAAGGTTGTATCACCACAAACAGCAGACACCTAAGTGAAAGCCAGGTTTCCTAATGCTCTGTAGGGTCAGCTTGGGTGGCAACACCATGGGAGATCCCTGACTGACAGGAATGATAAAGCAGGTGATGCCTCACAATGTGCTCTGAGATCAGCATTTGGGGTGCTTTGCTTCTGAAATTCCCATCATAAAAGGACCCCTATTAGGAAATCGCCCCCAGGGTTTCCCAAAGACCATGTCCAGGTTGGCAAAGAAGGTATGTGCCTACACATATCCTTTATGGGCTGACCACAAAGCACCTACATTCTGTCGATTCTGGAAATTTCTATGAAGTATGTACTTTTACTTATTACTGCTAGTACACTTAGAGTGTAAAGTAAAAAGGTAAAGCCCTGTGATGGAAGGAAGCAGGAGGCCACCCAGAGGCCTGGGGACCATTCTGAGGCCTGGCTGACTGAAATTCACTGGCCCACCTTGAGGGTCCTGAGAGAATGGCTTTTCTTCTGTTCCGAGGTGGTAAGGATTCAGGGAACAAAAGTAAGTGGAAAACTATTGGGTTGTTGGAAAAGTCATGACGCATTTTTGCAATGAAAAACATAGAAAAAATATGTCATGACTTTTCCGACAACCCAATAAATTCTTCAGACATGGACTACATCTGCTAACTCACGTGGCCTAACCAGTCTAGTCCAGTTTGGCCAGTTCAGTTCAATTTGGCAATTGGGATTAGCTAGGCTTTGGGAAAGAACCTTCAACAGTGCCCCTGGGGCTAGGTCTCATCACTAACCAGCCACTCCACTATGGGTGAGCAGAAAAGCCTTGAGGCAGCTGGGGGGTAGGGAGGGTGTCCAAGAGAAAAGACCCCAGATCCATTTCCTGGGCACAAGGTACCTACCAGGAAGGTACAAAACTATAACAGAATGACAATGAAATAGAGACCCTAGCAGATATAGCTGTACCAGGATCATCTCCTAATTCTTTAATATTATGAAATATTTCAAATATACAAGATTAAGAAAAACATCATGACTATCCATTTACCTACCACCTTACCTTTGATAAAGGTTTATCATATGGAAACATTTTACCACATTTACTTCAGATATATATTTTTAATTATCTATCTTTCCTTCCAGAGAGAACCAGCCAGCACCCAGAATGTGCCACTTAGTACCTCCACACGTGTTTATGATTACATTACAAATATGTGTCTCCACGAACAAAATATAGTGTGGCTTTGAGTGCTGGTCAGTGCTATATAAATGATGCTACTGCAGGTTACCACTAGGCAATGTTTTTTAAAACTTAGTTTTTGAGATTTATTTGTATAAATACACATAGCTTTAGTTCATTTTAACTCTTATGTTATATAATTTGACCACTAATGGAAATGGTTCCACACTCCTATGACAGGCACTTAGGTTTTAAAAATTATGCATTCACACAAAGCCGTAGTGTGACATGTCTCCCAGGTTCCCTGTGTGCCTATACAGATTTCTCTATGATATACCTAGAGCTGGACCTACTAGGTCACAGGGTGGGCACGCATATGACAGATGCTGCCAAACTGCTCCCCAAAGGGACAGTGCCTCAAAGACGCCTCCTCTGTCCCCGTCCCCACCGAAAGCCCACCAAATAAGACTCCAGGTTTGGAATTTCACATCTGGAGGCTGTAAAGAGGGAGAAGAGTGTCACCAGGCTCAACCCTTGCCCCAGANTGGGGGCCCCCTCTGCCTTTTTGCCCTGGTTGGGGGCCCCCTCTGCCTTTTTGCCCTGGTTCTGGGCCCCCTCTGCCTTTTTGCCTTGGTTGGGGGTTCCTTCCACCTTTCTGCTCTGATTCTGAACCACTTCTACCTTTTTGCCCTGATTGGGGCTCCCCTCTGCCTTTTTGCCCTGGTTCTGGGCCACCTCTGCCTTTTTGCCCTGGTTGAGGGCCCCCTCTGCTTTTTTACCCTGATTCTGGGCCACCTCTACTTTTTTGCCCTGGTTGGGGACCCCCTCTGCTTTTTTGCCCTGGTTGGGGACCCCCTCTGCTTTTTTGCCCTGGTTAGGGACCCCCTCTGCCTTTTTGCCCTGATTCTGGGACCCCTCTGCCTTTTTGCCCTGGTTAGGGACCCCTTCTGCCTTTTTGCCCTGATTCTGAGCCCCCTCTGTCTTTTTGCCCTGGTTCAGGGTTCCCTCTGCCTTTTTGCTCTGGTTGGGGGTACCCTCTGCCTTTTTGCCCTGGTTCGGGACCACTTCTACCTTTTTGCCCTGATTTTGGGCCCCCTCTGCCTTTTTGCCCTGGTTAGGGCCCCCCTCTGCTTTTTTGCTCTGGTTGGGGGTTCCCTCTGCCTTTTTGCTTTGGTTCAGGGTTCCCTCTGCCTTTTTGCCCTGGTTCTGGGCCCCCTCTGCCTTTTTGCCCTGTGTAGCACCAGTGGATAGAGTACTGGCCTTGGCACCCACTGGGGGCACAACTACCATAGGCACCTCCTTGGGAGCAGTTTCCAAGATGGCGGCCTTTGAGGCAAGAACTTGGATGGAATTCACTACAGAACTGACTGCTGGTTCCACCTTTGCTACTTTTTTCTCCTTCTTCTTTTTGTCCTTAGGGGAGGAGACCAGCTTCTCTTGGGGCATGGCTGGTACTGTGGCTATAGGAGCAACGACCACAGAGGACTGGACTGGGGTTGGAGCCACTGCCACTGCAGGTGTCCGCACTGGGTCTTTGATGAGTATGGTCATGTTAGGGGCTGGCTCATGGTCAGGTATTTTCCCGTTGAGCTTCTCTTCCTTTTTCTTGGTCTTTCCTTTCTTCTCCACTGTTTTCTCCTTCTTTTTCTTCTCCACTTTCTGGTGGTGAGTTTTCGCCATCTCCCTACGCTGGTTGGCTAGAGCTTCTTCGTATGATGTCTCCTTCATGGAGAAGGTTGACACCAGGAAGATGCCAATGGCGGAAACAACCATGAATCCACCAAAAACCATAACCCCCAAGGTCTGAGTGTCGTAAATGTCCATCCTGGCTTGCTTTCCTTTTACCTGCCAAACACATACACATAGATTACTTTTTGCAGAAACTGAGGCACCAACAGTTTCCACCCCCACCCTCACTACCAAACTTAAGGTTTCACTACTCTTCAGACTGATAAAGTCAGAGCAGAAACAAATCCAGGCAATCTCTGACGTCGTACATTCTTAGCTGCCATTCCTTAGAAGTAAGCAATTTTTTACACAAGATATGAGCAGTCCCTTTTAGTGCCGGCAGATATGAAGCAAAAGAGAGATGGCAGAATGCAGGTCGATAACTAGGGCACATGATGCCCTGGTGACTCAGAAGCCTCAGTCAAAATTCACGATATTCCCCACTGCAGGGGTTAAAGATGCACACAAGCACAAGTACAGGCCCATGTGAAACAATGGGGAGTGGTGGGGACTGTGGCAAGAATGCCTCACTAAATTAGAGGGCAAGTGTTACCCAGACATATCTGATTGTTGTAGAAATGTGAGCGCTGTGCCAAGAGATCTTTTGCTTTTTCAGGTTAGGTCAGAAATAATTTTTTCTCAATGTGAAATTGATAGATTTAAAAATAACATGTAAGCCAAACCAAACATTTCTGTAGGCTTTCAGCCGTAGGGACCTACAGGGACCTGTAGGCCAGCAGGTCCCTGGTGTGCCATCTCAACTGTTACCTCCCTTTTCCGTAGTGCTGGTAAACATAACTACCCAGGGTCAGAAACAAAAACTTTTGCATTACAAGCCAGAAAAGTGATCAAGAATATGGTGAGGGCCNTCACTGGCCCTCATATGTGGGATCCAAACCGGGGCCCTCTGGCATCCCAAGCGAGTTCTTAACCATCGCGCCACTCGGCCGGCCCATAGCATCCCTGATTCTTAATACGTCTTACAAATTATTCATCTATTTAGTTCTATAAAATGAAATCAGTATATTTTCTTGTGCTGTGTTTTCCAGTTCATTTATTCTCTTCAATCTGTTGGATTTATAATTACAATTATTGCATTGCTCATGTCAAGAAGTTGTGCCTGATACCTTTTTGAAACTTGTTAGGTCATTTGATAGTTTTCTTTCCTTGTACGTATATTCAATCTTGTCTATTACTTTAAGAATAGTAAGTGTTGTTTAAAATCAATGTCAACCACTCCACTGTCTCGTGTTTTCACAATTCTCTTTCTGCTGGTCCTCATTCATATGCTCTGCATTCTTTGTGCTTAGCTATTCTTAACTAGGGACTGCTCATTTACCTTTAAAAATTATACCTGGGGATTCACTGAGCCCAGGATAAAGGGGCAGTCCTTCAAAGATCTGCTTGCTTGTGGACTGGCCCAGGAGCACTATCTGTTCAGATGGACTCTAAAATAAAGCAATTTTAAAACTGACTTGAGAATTTCCTACTACTAAGGTCATAGGAACTGCATGAGGGGCAACCTGTGAGTTCAACTTCACAGTAGAGGAATGGGCTTATTTCTGACTCGCCTTCACCATGAAAGATGTGGGAGCCCTCTGTGGTTCCAGCCCTAAGGAAGGTCTTCCATCGTATTGCCTCCCCAATTCGCCAAATGCCTTCAGGGTTATCCTTACCATCCAGGATTACTTCCACTGAAATTTTGGCCCCCTCACTGTCTTCCTCAATATCTTCCAAGCCATTTAATGCTTTCAAAAGGCATTTTTATCTGTTATGTAGCATTTGCCCCACTCAACCTCAGTCAGACCACCCATTCCATACTATCGCCAGAAACACAGTGCACCTTCCCTCTTTAAGCTATTGACATTTGGCACTGTTGTCACTCCTAGTCAAATCAAAATCCCAGCCAACCAAGCTCTTTAAAGAACAAGGAGATAATCCCTGTTACATGACTGGAAGGCTGGCTGTGCCCAAGAGCCTTCCAAACCCAAACCTGGATGCACAGCAATCCAGGAGGAGCAGAGCCTGCAGAGACCTTGCACCACCAACCCTGAGCTATGCACAAGAATTCCAGGAGGTGGGCAGATTTTCAGATTAAAAATGTGTGGGTCAGGGCTGAATGACCTCTGGTACCCAACCACTGGCTCTTTTGTTCTTAAGAAATCCACTTAATACTCCAACACTCACTATATTAACCTGGGAGGGGAGGGGGATCGGAGGAAGAACTCAATCTCTAGATCTGAGCTCTGCTGAACTCCTCCCTTCATTTAAATACTGCAAGAGGAGCTGCCTTTTCACTCAGATTTGTTATTAAGAGGCAGCATTTGCTCATCAGCAATAAAATCTGACCCTCTTTCACAAGCAAGCCCTCTGCAAAGGCCCATCTTTGATTAAGGAATTCTGCAGCCAAACTTTCCCATCTGTGACAAAGAGAACTGCAGCACAAGAGTTATTTCTTATTAACAGCAATGGTAACTCAAACTTCATTCTGGTTCCTTTTTAAAGTCAGCCATTGTATAATATAGTCCAAGCTCTAATATACTGCTGGTGGGAGTATAAATTAGTACCAGCACTTTGGGGAAAAGTCTGGCACTCTCTTCTAAAGATGAGCATATGTCTCCTTGTGCCTCCAACATCCCAATCCTAAAAAGAGACCCAATGGAAATGCAGACAAGTGGTCACCTAAGTCAGGGGCAAGACTTTGTATTTTATAATACCAGGGGTACCAAAAATATGTATACAAGTGGACACTCTGGTCAACGTTGCTCAAGCAGTAGTTTGTCATGATCGGAAGTGTCTAGACGCTGATGGTAAACGCTTTGAGCACCTCTTGTAATTGCAGAAGTCAAACGTGACTTGCATTCATCTTTTGTTATCGATATATATTGAGTATTACAATTTTAATAGTTTTTTCCTTTCTTAAAATATGTATACATTTTTGGCACCCTCTGTATAAAGTAATTTATATTTTAATATAAGCCCCAAATAAGAAACTATCTAAGTACCCATCCACAGTGAAATGGATAAACTGTGATGCACTCACATGATGGACTATTATACAACAAGAATGAACTAGCCCATCAGCACAGATGAACCTCACACATAACCAATGAAAGACCCACAAGAGCTTATGTTACATGATTCCATTTACATCAATTTCAAACACAGGCTAAATGAATCTGTGCTCAGGACAGACAGCACATACCCTGGGGGATGGACAGCAACTGGAGTGGGCACAAGAGGAGCTGGGGCGGGGGTGGAGAGGGTGGGGGCAGGGGAGGAGGATATCTGTTTCTTGATCTGCTGGTTAAACAGGGTGTTTAGTTTTTGCGAGTTTATTGATCTATAGACTCATGACAGTGCATTTTTCTGAAAATATCTATGCCAACTTTGGTAGGGAAGTGTAACATGTGGATCTTGAAGAAGCATCTTTAATGACTGGAGAATCTATGGCAGCACTTTCACTCCTGTCACCTCTCACGTGCATACATGCATATGCTATGTTGCTCCCACCAGAGAGGGAGTACCCGGGACTAAGGTCAAGGGAGACAGTCACCTCCTGCTTTAACTGTCCCATAGACCCTCACTCTCCATGGCCATGACCACTGTTCCGTCCTCCTTACAGACTTTTAAAAATCTAACTGTTCAGAATAAGGCTCAGGCTCTTCCAACTTAAGAGGGAAGAGACTTAATGAGAGTGGCTGGGCTTTAGCGTCGTGGCTAAAATTGACCTTTTAAATATCCCTAACAAGACTTGTCATTAAGGGTGTCAATAATCATTTATTCTTCAACACTGACTCCTTTCTTCCCTCCATCACTGTCGTTACCACTAAATTCTGAAAATTATGATTTTTCTTCCAATTACCACAAATATCTAGAACTCACAAAGAAATGAAAATATATTCAACAGAAATAAAGCTACATCTAATTCCTATTCAGGATGAGTCTTGAAAAGAAAATAGTTTTTGATGTAGCTGAATTGTGCATTTTAACGACTGAATGAGAAGTTCCAGAAAAACATACCACCTGGGCTTAGGGCCAGAACAAGGGTGTTCCACAAAAAAATGAGTAGGCCAGATCCTCTGGTCAGAAACCGCTAGGAATCTAGGCTCTACTTTTCATTTCTTTGCTTAAAAGCAAAAGTAGGAAGAAAGGAGAAATGGAGGATGGGGACGAGGCCTGGAATGGCCTCTTACCAGCCAGACCACTTGCCCCAATTTTCCTCCACCTTCCCTGGCTTCCATGAGCAAGTCCTCCCAGAGTAAAGAAAACCACCATACAGGGAGGCAACAGGTTAATCTTATCAACTCCTTTTACTCCTCAGTCTGACTAAAAGAAGAGAGAATGGAATCCCAACTACAAGAGAAGAATTTTCTCTCCTATCACTAAGGAACACTCTTGCCACTAAACACAAAATTCATCCCCTTTTTTCAGAGCAAGACAGCTCATTGTTCAAACCAAAAATAACCTTTTGTTTTCTGGTGAGTGTGTCATCACTGATATGCTCAGTTACTCTGCAAGCCCCACCTAATGCTCATCACACAAGGAAATAAAGGATGCAAGCGGCCAATTCTCCTAGAACCTGGGAACACCTAGGAAGGTTCCAGTCTGGTGAGGTGTCCTGGCATGGATGACAGACTGTAGAGAAACAGGTAGACTGAACTCAATATAACCAGTCTGGAGGTTTGAGGTGCCTGGGAGAGAGAGCAAATGCCCAAGCCACCTCCTAAGAGTCACTTCAAACCCCTCACCTCTCCTGGCAGAGCAGGACCATACACATTTGACAGCGTCCGACTACAAGTGTAACTGTCAATTTCCCAACTGGAGACTGACTGGGGTGAATTCAAAATCACCTGGCTTTAGAATAATTTTTTTGTGTTTATTATTTGGTGCTCTAGGAATCTAGACTACTTCAAGCTAAACAATAATGTACTCATAGAATATGAGCACTAGAAAATCATCTCTCCATTAGCTCAGCAAGTATAGGCATCCACTGTGCGCCACTCACTGTTCCAGGCATTAGGGCTATCTCAGGGAACAAAACAGAAACATCCCTGCACTGGTAGAGCTTATGTTCCAGTAACAGAGATGACAAAATAATTCATATATGCAGCATGTCAGATGGTGATAATGAAGA